TTGGAAGAAGAGAGTGAAGGGAGAGGTTGCACCCGACGATATACCATCCGGACATCCAACCGAGGAGCCTAAGAAGAAGAAGCAGAGAGCATCACCTACTCCAGACAGGAAGGTCGACAGCGAGTTCAGGCGAAAAGAAATGTTGAAAGCAAGAGTCGTGACAATGTTCGACCATGACGGGTTCACATTGATTGAAAGTGCCGATGGAGTCGAAGGAGGGACACATTCCTACAATGGGCGGAAGCTTGCGGAAGTAGGCCCTAGGGATATGAGGGTGGTGTACGAATTTGTAGAGAAGGCATTTGTGCACTCCAGTTCCCTCAAACCAAGGGCATGTCATCACTTCTATCCCCTACCGACACGGAGGGAGAAGGGATACAAACCGATCGACCCCATGACGATGATCGGGAAGGTAGAATTAGTACCGATCAACGGAGTCACTTTCGCTGCACAGAACTCCGACTACGGCAACCACAAGTATCCGACTCCAGACTGTCGAGTACCAGAATACAGCCAAGCGAGCCAGGCCCTGAGTCGTCGATTGGGAGCGAAGTTGAGGCATCGAATTGGACGCCAATTCAGGACAGGAGGAAGACTCACACCAATCAAATGCGATGAAGGCGCATGGGTGTCATGGGAAGACCTGTTAGGTGATAACGCAGTTTGGGAAGACGGTTATCACTATGGCAACATAGACATCGTGACCAAGAAGGCGCGTTTGGAGAAGTACTTCGACCAGAACTATGAGTGTTTCCGCATAACCAAGAGGATCAGATTCCAGATGTTGGCGGTCCGCGTTCACCCTGATGAACTCAATGACCCTGATGACCCGATGGAGAAGGAATGGATTGACGAACTCAAGGGCATGGGAATCTCCAAAGGAAGACTCCACCATAGCGATGGATGGTGCTTTCCCGTGGCCGTAAGAGCAACCTCAGCACACTCAACGGACGGCGGAGGTTATGACGTTACCATCAACATCGACCACATTGGATCGAGAATGACCAACGACATGGCCCTATCTATGGTAACTGCATTTCACGCTACCAATCTTGGAGCGCTGACTTCAATCATGCGACGGGGGCTAGTGCCGGGAGGTCTCGGTTCATCGGGAAGGGATTCTATCCACTTCACATGTTTTCCGCCATGGGCCTGGGAGCAGGGCTACAAGGGAAAACCTTGGCTGGGTCGTAAGGTCGCACTGAGTGATCGCCCAGTGGTTCTCTACATTCTGGTGTGGAAGCTGCAGGAGTACGGGCTTCTCATCTCAGCGACTGGATCTCTATTGGTTGAGGACGTCGTTCCCTTCGATGAGGTTAAAGGGGCATGGTTGCAATGCGACAATGCAGAACCCGGACAGCCTGAGGAGATCGAATGGATCAGGTTACTCAATAGAGAACCCGACCCTGGAAGCTACCTTGTTCTGGAGTCCAAATACGGAAACCCGATCATGATTCCACGCTACCAAAAGCTTGAGAGTTTAGCGGTTGAAGTTCAGGACGATACCTACTCCGAGGACGACGCCAAAATCTCAAAGCTGTTGGGTATGATCGAGGAGAGTGGTGTCTACCCAGAGTATGATAGCACCGAGTGGCAGGAAATCTTTGAGGAGATCGTGTACCGCCGAGCAATGAAAGACTATGACTCAAGACCATGTCCTAACTGTCTTGGCGAAGTCGATGTGCGATTGACGATATGTCCGCACTGCGTAGCGGTTTTGATCGCGAATGGGAAGCTCACGCATGTGGTACCCAAGGAGACAAGGGACCGCAATCAACGATCACCTCCGAGAGATGTCCCAGCCAGTTCTTCCGGTGAGGCAACTTCTGCTGCGGGTGCAAACATCGATGAAGTCATCAAGAATGCACGCAAGACAGCCGAAGAAGTCATTGACGTCGAGGAATCCGAAGGAGAGGAAGACGAGGAAGTTCCTATCATTTTGAAGGAACGACCGGACGAAGCTGAAGGCGAACCCGAATATCGGGAGGTCCCTCAAGATGGATACGGGAATGAACTTCCACAGCCTTTCCCCTTCGCAATTGACGAATTGCCGCAAGAAGCTGCGATCCCCATCGACCACAACTTTGCAGTCACACAGCAATTTGATCTGAGGTTGATGAAGTTGATCAAGAGCTTGGCCAACGCAACGTTCGACATCAATTGCTTTGAGAGTCGTGAAGACGTACTGCGAAAGTTCGACGATGGACAGCGGCATGATACTCCATACAATAGATGGCCAATAGTACCGAATGATCCGGATACTGGGTTTCCAAGACGCCTTCAGAGAGCCGAGGTCGTAGGCATGAGCAAATAGACCAACGACGTGTATGCAACAGAAGCGTGACAGATCTATGAATTCCACGCCCACGTTATTCACCCGATGATGATCACTGCAATCCGCTGTGGGCTTAGCCACAAATACCTCAGAGAGGTCGGCAGCGCTCGGCGCAACATGAGTGATCCAAAGGCTCGAAGATCTGAGACCCAGGAAGAGATCATCGAGATGCTGGCATTCATCTCAAATTTCATCAGACGCTTGATCAGGAAGACTTTCGGAGCGAGCCGATATAGTTACTACCAGAAACCAGATGACGAAAGTGCCGCTTCATACAAATTCATCGACATTAGCCCCGCCATCAAATCGGAGCGGAAGAATGTCACAAAGGAGATCCTCGTTGCATGCCGCTACTATGGCATAGAGGTATCCGATATTCAAACACAGAAATTGAAGTTCTTCGAGGAACAGATCCGAAAGGGAAACCCAAGGAACGTTGAGCTCATCAAGGACTACATTGGCTTTGTCGGAGCTGACTACATGCGACAACTCACGAATGGTTGAGCATTGGGGTCGTACCGACATACTACTTCCGGTACTTCAAGTACTAAGGGATCTTGGGTAATTCATGATGACCGTTTTGGCATCATGGGAGTGAGATAGGATTGTATTTCACACCGTTGGTAATCGCATGATACCATAGGTAGGTGCACGTCTTCCGCTTGTAGCCCCATTACCCGTTTGATCCAACTTTCAAGCGAATATAAGATCGTTTGCTAATTCAATTCAATAGGACATATTGGTTGACCTCCAATACACTTTTAAAAACATGATTCGTTCTCCGGCTTTTACATCCACTCATCTCCCTTCCCCGTCGAAGCACGGATATGGGGGGTGTCAATAGGGATGAGGTCCCAGTATAGTTGCTATACAGATACATGCCATATACTTTTGGCTCAAGTGCCCAACCAGGTAAAAAGGAGCTTTAGCGCCCGAACTTCATGTTGAACTAAGGGCTAGAACGGGGCCAGGGCACACCTTTCCATCCGTTCGCAATTTTCCTAATTATCCATTATATGTTTCCTATCTTCAATAATTCCCCAATCCCCATCAATTCCCATCATATAAAATATATTCTCTTCAATCCGATTCTTTCGTAAATCCTCAATAAATAACATTATATATATCATGAAAATATTTGTTCAAATCATCAATTAAATCTTATTATAAAGAAAAAACAACATTCCAATTTTATTCAAAACCTTCCGCCTCCAATACTTTCCTATTACAATTATTTATCTTTCCTAAAATATCCTTTTCAATTCGATTCTTTCGCAAATTCTTATTAATTAATTTTATGCAATCTCTTCTTTCTTTCCTATCCTTAAAAACCCCCCCAATATATATTCCTCATCAATCCAACAATAATATTAAATTTAACCGCGCCTACAATCTATTCTCTTTCCATAAATTCCTAAATCTCTTATAATATTATTAATGCATTTTTCGTCGTCAATTATATTATCGATATAATATATACCTCATATCATTAATTCTACATTTCCAAATAATCCATATTTTTTTTCTTTCCTCCACCAAATTAGTTTCACCTCTCCGAAATTAATCCTTTCGTAACCTCCCCCCCTATATCCCCTTTATTCATTTCGTCCGCTCCAACAACCTCAAACCCTACCTATACTAATTATTAATAAAATTGAATATATAAACATTGATATTAATCAATATTTTGTATATAATTAAATTTCAAAATTCAAATATTTATATGGTTATTAAATATAACAAAATGTATGTTAAAGATATAAATCCTTACAAATATAAATAGTAAAAATATATCGAAATATATTAATTTTCAAATCCCTATTGCAATCAATTCCAAATTAGGATGCTTTTCGGCTCTAGATCAAGGTCATCACTACTAGGTTGGAGGCCATCGCTACTAGGTTGGAGACCATCGCTATTAGGGTGGAGGCCATCGCTATTAGGGTGGAGGCCATCGCTACAAGGGTGGAGGCCATCACTACTATAAGATGATTACTTGGTGGAGGCCATCGCTACTAGGTGGAGACCATCGCTGTTAGGGTGGAGGCCATCGCTATTTGGGCGGAGGCCATCCCTATTAGGTTGGAGGTCATCGCTACTAGGTGCAGGCCATCGCTAGGACGCTCAAAAAGGCCTGATCCCTGTGCGCCACTTTGCCCACTTGGTGGCCTAAAGGACTCTGTCTGGCTAACATGTTTCTAAATGATGATTACGTTCGCTTGGCTGGATGTATATTGATAAGACAAAAATACACAGTAATAGTAATACTCATTGTGTTTTTTCCGTGAAACAGTTGCTAAAACTCACCAACGTCAGGCCCTGCTGGATGAATTGCTTTTTCCACATCCTGCAATGACAATGTACAGTGGCAGAAACCATTGACATTGGTGCATACAGGTCCTCTTCTGACGTCTGCGTTCCCAAAACCTGATCGACTTCCCTGCAGGCAGGTGTTGACAATCTGCAAAGTATTGCATCGAGTACCCGAGCCTCAAAACTTGTCGCGCTTCCAGAACTGCTTGAACCTAGTGACAAAGGGCATCGCTACTAGGAGCAACACTACTAGTAGCTCCTGGCCCTACTACTAGGAGCAAGAAGCTACTAGGTGGAGGCCATTGCTATAGCAATTTGGATTGTCAGGTCTTGAAGATTCAGGAGATAAGTTTCATCTTCGATCCTCTGGTGAGCTGCTGTCAGGCTCCACACTCATTTCCTGCTCGCAAAGGATGTGATTACGTGACAACCAATGAGAACGAGCAGTGAAAAATGCCAAATGCAAAAACATGAACAGATTTTCATTTCAATGCGCTTCCAAATGACACATCAGCGCTCACAAACTGGTGCTCTAAGAGGCGCTTTAATGTAAGGTTGTCCAAGATCAAAGGACAAAGGAACATCAGGAGTACTCTCCTCGCTGCTCGTCGTTCCCCCCCTACTTTCTGTCAGCAACTAGTGGTTCAAAGGTGGGGGTTGCTCTTTACACATACTGTCTTTTCATTGTCGCAGCATCATCACATTGTCATCTCATGCATTTCACAACATTGTCATCGATTCCACAACAGTCATCTGTATGCTTCTCCTCAACCTCTCAGTTTTCTTCTCAGAAACAATGTTCGCTACTAGGAACAAGTGCATCGCTAGTAGTAACAAGCAAGTGCCTTACTAGTAGTGTAACAAGAAGCTATTAGAAACAATGTTCGCTACTTTCTTCAGTAGCTCCCATTCGCCTCCACCCAAAGCTGGCCCTTGGTGTCGCCTTTCCGCCTCAACCAAACCTAGCGATGGCCTCCAACCTAGAAGCGATGGCCTCCAACCTAGGCCCAGCTGCTTCCTCAAGCACAAACTTCAGATTAAAGCCTCTTCCTGAATTGTTTTGCTGACTGACCCGGCAGCACTCTGAAGATATGAGACTACCAATGTGCCTCGTGCTCGAACACCACTTGTCTTATCCATCTGTGTTTCAGCATCTGAGACAAGCTAAATCACACCTTGTGCCTCCTGTTCACTATTTTCATTCAGCCTCCAGGATGGATCCAAACTAGCTAGACCCAACAAGGTGCTCTGCGCATCTCTGCCTCTGCTTCGTCCGGTTCATCTCGTGGCTCTGTCAGATATTTTTTGAAGCTCAGGAGGGGTTAGGCAATTAAGCAGCGCTACTGAGCTTCAGTACCTTCTTATTAGGCTTGGACGCAAAAAGGCTCAGGCTCAATGATTTGGTTCCTAGACTTGTTACATTGTTGGGAAACTTATATAACAGCTAAAGCGGCTCATCACTCAAATCATTTACGTCTTTCACACTACCACTAGGAGGCCCATGTGGATTCTGTGTGGTCTTGGGCCTTCAGCCGCACGTAAAGGACTAGCATAATTCCTAGTAGTAAGAATGCTCCTAGTAGCGAACATTGTTACTACTAGTAAAGCACTTGTTACTAGAAGCGATGCACTTGTTCCTAGTAGCGTCCTTGTTCCTAGTAGTAAGGCCAGGAGCCCCTAGTAGCTTCTTGTTACTACTAGTAAGGCACTTGTTACTAGAAGCGATGCACTTGCTCCTAGTAGCGTCCTTGTTCCTATTAGTAAGGCCAGCCCCTAGTAGCTTCTTGTTACTACTAGTAAGGCACTTGTTACTAGAAGCGATGCACTTGTTCCTAGTAGCGAACCTTGTTCCTA